TTTCTGTGGAGCACCCTCTACCCAGAGCTTACCTATTTATTTGCCTTTCTATCCCATCTCTGAATACCAACCACTTTCTTTTTCATGTGTGTTTAACTCCATCTCACCCTTTAAGTCTCCCCTCTTGTATCTGTTATTCCAGAAAGCTGTCTGTGATACTCTATGGGCTCTCAAAAATCTTTAAATATCTGCAGAGCAATTGCTACCCAATTGTGAAAATGTGAATTCACTTGTCTGTAGGTTCTACTGGACTACAGTAGGCCTCGGCAGATAGTCAGGTTCATGTTTACTTTTTATACCCAATTCTTTCTTTAATTAATATTTGTATAATGTACTAATAAATTAGAACTCAGCAGTATGTTTTATGAAGTTTCTTGATATTGATACCGAGGCATATATAGGCATCTCATTGATAGCTTTTAAATGAATAAATGGCTATTTAAATAAATAAATGGCTATTTAAGTAAATAAATGGCTATTTATTAGCAAATTTTAATCTCATATGGATATATTTAATATTTCAAAAATTCTAAAGATTTCATTATAATTCCTAAAATTCTAAATTCTAAAAAATCCTTAAGTTGTATCACGTAAATATGTTTGGTGATTTAGCACACTGTGTAATTTTTGGTAAGGAAAAGACATGGTTGTGAAATAATGAGATAGGGTTGGCCTTGTGCCTCCTTAACAGCTCTGAAGGCATGTACTTTAAATTGCTGAAGATGATACAAAGGAATGACACCTTCCAATTCCAAAGACTGAGTAAATTGGAAGGAAAGCTTGCACTGAAATAATGTTATATGAGACATCAATCAATCTCTATCCAAAAAACCATTTGTTTAGTGGTGTAAACAGTCTTCTTTAGTAGCCTAAATTTTCTTTTTTCTGGAACAGAGTAAAGTAAGAGTTGCTTCTTAGATATTTCACAAAGACAATTACAGAATTTTCTGAAAGGCACATTAGTGACCAATTGGTTTCCAAGACTCTTGGCCATTTATAGGTGGAAACAGATCTACTCGAGTCCTGTTTTAAAGCAGAGAAGATGTTTTGAGTGTGGGACAACTTGGAGTTAGAGACCAAACAAGACAAAGATAAGTAGTGTCATCAAAGAGGCACAGGTACCATTTTGAAGGGTCCACTGGGCCCAAATTTGGGACAATATGAAGAACAAAAAGAATAATGTTTGCTTTTGAGTATTACATAAATTTCCTATCTCTAAAAAGACAAGTGAGCTCTTTTTTTTTTTTTTTGACAAAAAAGCAATTACTAAAGGAAAGGAATGATAGAATTAGGGGAAGTCATTATGTTTCAGACTCAGATGAAATATTTGAATCAAGAATGAGCAGTAGATGCTATACTCATTGTAAAACATGATTAGAAAATAAGATAGCCCCCCATAGTATATTTTTACCCACAAGTTACTTCCAGATGTCGGGGTGTGTGTAGCTTTACAATAGAAAGATATGACAGTGTTAACTATGCTGTTAACTAAATAATTGAGGTTAGTACTAGTTAGATAGTGGGACAACCCCACGTTTTGTGTCTTGATGTGATGAAATATGAATTTCTCAGAATGATATATTTTTGCCAAAAAATGTTTAACTTAAATCTAGACTTGGGTTCATAGGAGATACAAGTGGTGGAAAAATGGATTTAATGATTCTATAAAGAAAAAGACAAATTAGAATATGAGACATTAATAAGACAGCAAGCCTGAACTGTTCAAAAAGAAAAGCAAGAGTTTTAGATTAAAGGATATTGCAAAGTCAAACAACAAATGCAGTGAAAAAAACTTGATTAGGCTCTTGCCTGGGTGAAAAAGACTCGGAAAATAATTTATCGGGCAATTATGGAAAGTTGAATATGGAGTAAGTAGTGGAGCCTATTCTGTTGATGCAATACGAGTATTATTTGTTCTTATTTCTAGGAGACAGATATTAAGTTATTTAGGAGTAAAGTGCAACTTATTTTCAAATAGCTCAGCAAAATACATTTAAAAATGAAAAATGGCTATAAAAACACATGACATTTTCTTGCAAATTATTGCTTAGATGGGGATGTCCATTGTATTATTTCAACCTTTATTTTAGTTTAAAATTTTCTTAAGATAAACTGAGAAAAGGAAAAAACTAGAAAAGCAAAGCTAAAGACCTGGCGTGAGTGGAGGCCCAGGTGCTCAGGGTACGGACATCTGCACACAGATGAACACCGAGCGTTGAGTGCAGTGTGAGCCTACTGCTTTGAGCCAATTCTGGAGCACCTGACAATCTCCTGGTTAATGGACAAGCCTTAAGGAGAGGCTGTTTTACTTAGTTGTGGTCTGTGATATTGCAGGTATTCAAAAACTGTTGTCTGAAAACATGTATTAAAAGGGGTAACCAAGTTTGACAATTACTTACTTGGAAAAGTGATAACACTGGTAAGTTTTCAAAACCAGGAAATACTTGAATTTAGTAGCCTTGAACTAATTAAGGGAAAAGTAAGCTCAACATTGGTTCCAGAAGTCAGGAAAAGGCTATTTTTAAATCATCTCTCCTGAACATGCATTAATGACTGTATTACTTACTGTTTTTACTTTCAGTAATGCTGTTTGCTTTTCTGGATTAATGATCAAAGCATGTTAGTGGAAGCCTGCTGCAGTATTTCCCACACATGGGGAAAATTTGAGTTTGGTGAGAAGTCTTCTGAGAGTGGCATTTGCAATTGTGCTTTTGTTCCTTGGTGAGCTATGAGTTGGGGCACTTAATTATGTGAAAAATATTGCAAGAGAGCAGTTGCATAATCCTCCAGAGAGTAATTATTGTCTGTCTTGGCAGAATGCAAGGCTTTTAATCTGTAAATAAGCAATTCTATGTGGAAGTGCAGCATGCGGAGTGATTCTATAAGTTGTAAAGGTCTCATGAATTTTTTAAGATGAAAGCAGTCTCTGCATGTGCAGGTTGACTGCTGCCTTTGTGTTTCAAAGGGTTATGATGCTTCCCTTGTGGTTTTAACCCCTCCTGAAATATTTAAGCCTCTGAGAATAATTCCTGTAAAGGGCAAAACTGTGTCTAAGTTAAGCCTATGAAGGTTTCAAAAGTGGAGGAAGTAAAATGTACTTTCTGTAAGCTAAAAACCCATGAATGAAAGCCAAAATAAAGCCTGTTTGACAGGGCTTTAGCAAAAGCAAAGATGCAGTGATTTATTAAGATGTTCACTTACTGAGGTTAATTTTCTAATTTCACTAACTATTTTGGCATGTTTGCTGTGTGATAAACCTTAGCTATTTAAAGTTTATTTACATACACATTCTTTTCTCAAAGGTATGCCATTGCAGCTAATATTTCTAGAAACAGTTCAGTTTTAGGATATGTGTGTATTTTGCTTAGGTGGATCTGAGTCTTTTAGATATTGCATGTAAACTCTAACTTTTGGTTTTCACGTTGTTAGTAGCACCTACCTCTCCTTTCCTCGTTACTGTGGATGAGTTGGCCATGCTGCTCTCTAAGGTCGGCCTTTGTTCTTGAACATCTGATTCTCTCCCTATTTAAGAACTTCTTTGGGTGGCTGTGCTTCTCTTCTGTATTGTGACTCTTGTATGGAACTAACTTTTCCCTCTGTCTAGTTATTCCCATCAAACTAGAAATATGTAATATTTTCCATTGTTTGGCAGGGGGAACCTTTCTTGACTTCTGTTTTTCTGTTTCGCATTGCAGCCAAACTCAAAGAGTTTCTCCTATCTTTGTTTCCTTCCCATTGTCTCTGGACCTATTCCAAGCAATCTTTCACCCCAGGCCCCTACACGTTCTGTTTCTGTCAAGATATCCATGACCTTCATGTTGCCAAATCTCACGAGCAGCACTTGATCTAAATCCTACTTGATCATCTGTAGCATCTGACAGTTTGTCATTCTCTCTACTTAGAGACTTGGCTTCAAGGAAGCCAATTCGATTTTACTCCTTCCTCATTGTTTTTTTCCCAGATTCCATTGCAAAATCATCCTATTTTCCTCCTCTTCTAAGATTTCCTGGTACCAGGACCTCTCCTTTCTTTTTCTCTTTCCCAGAGTCATCTTAGATGTTTGAATACTTACATGACTCTTACTGCTTTGTTTGAAGTCCACATCTGTCACTTGTACTCCAAGATTTTATAGCTAGCTGCTGGTCCCCTATCCCACTGGTTGACTAATGGGATTGCAGATTTAATACAATCAGACTGTCACACCTGGTCAGACCACAGTTACCGTTCACGTGAATGATTGCAATAGCCTCCTGTTTTCTATGCCTCATTCTTGCCTGGAGTATTCAACATAGTGGCCTGAGAAAACTTTAAAAACATTTGATTATGTCTCTTGTCTGACCCGAAGCCTTCAGTGACTTTCCACATTGCTCAGAGTGAGAGCTGTCTAACCAACTAATCATCATCCAACCCCGTTACTTTGGGGGTTACTTCCTGTCCTTCCCTATCCTTCATTCTGCTTTGGCTTTTTTCTCAGGCATACTCAGATGTATCAGGAACTCAGATGTGTCAGCTACTGTGTCAGGAACTTGGTATAAGATGCTTTTTTGGCTAAGAGATTCTGTTCTGTGGTCTTTAATGGCTTTCTCTCTTAAGACCTCAGTTTTGTGCTCCAGCACCTTACTCTGGGCTTTTCTAACCAGCCTGTTTAAGCTCCTCCCACCTTGGTATCACGGGTTCTTCTGATTCTTTCTCTTAGCTTTATTTTTTGCTGTTTCAGTTATCGTCTTATGAGCATTAATTTTTGTGTTTGTTGTATTTGTTCTTGCCTGTCTTGGTGTTTGAATGTAAGTTTCATGAAGGCTGAAATGACATCTGCCTCTTCAGAGCACCATCACCTGTCCTGACAGAGTGGGTGGTTGGCACTGCTGAAGAGTAATTGAATAGAGACTGACAAGTGAGTTCATTCCTCCTGCCCGTGTTTTATGGTAGTCAGTGTGAGTGGAGATAAGTAGCACTCAAAGTAATTCTCTGTGTACTAATAGTTATTTTCTGTTCCTCAGTTTCTCTGTTTGAAGAATATACGGACATTTCTCACAGCCTGTTGTGAGACATTTGGAATGAAGAAAAGTGAACTCTTTGAGGCCTTTGACCTGTTTGATGTTCGCGACTTTGGGAAGGTAATTGCATTTTTTAAAATATTATTTTTATTCGCACATGTTTGACTAAACTGTTTAAAGTTCTAAAGGTGGGTATATGACTTAAGTCGTCTATGGATCTATATGATATAATTATATTTTATATGTTGGTGGCTTAGCAGACAAAAAACTATGTTCAGAAAACAGTAAAAATAAGTGGCACTAATTTCACAAATGAGTTTAAAATTCCTTTCTAAATTAAAGCAGCATAAGATAATCTATCCAGAGGTAATTTTTCTGCTGGCTACCTTTAAGTGTAAGATTACTAGTATTCATACTTAGACAGTTTATCTGCACTCAAGTGTGAGGAATGGTACTCTTCCATACCAGTTTTCTGTATATTTGGAAGGCATCTACTATTTGGAAATTCAGGCTTTTCTGTTGGGACCTCTCTTGGGAAGGTGACTTTGAGAAGACATAAATCTTTCCTTCCTCCTTTTGTGCTGGGGATTGAAGCCAGAGCCTTGTACATGCTAGGCAGGTACCACGCAGCTATATCACTAGCTTGGTTTTCATCAAATATTTGTTACACTTTAGTGATACTTTTCACATAGAAATTGTTTAAATGTGTACCATTATTACTGTGGACACTAAATGCATGTATGTGTTAAGATACTGGTGAAATAAACATTCTTTCAAGTTACACTTATTATGAAGTGATTTGGCATAATGTTAACACCTTGCAGGTAAGTAACCATAAAACAGTCAGGTAGCCAAAGTGACATTATTTTAGTCCTTGCTTACATAATTGCATTATGCAATTTAGAACAAGGAAAAAAAACCTAAATGTCACATTGGGAAGTTTATCCTTATGCTATAATTTAGGTGCCAAAAAGCTGAGAATGATACTTTAATTTCCAAGATATAATATTTTGATTATAAAATCAAGCTGTGAACTGATCTGCTTGACAATGGAAATAATTAGCACCAACTTTGAAAAGAAGCACAAGGTATGTGATGCTGAAAATCATCAAAGATGGGGAAACTTCTGTGAGGAGATTGAAGGTCTGGATTCTCTATCTGGTCTTGACTCAGAATCATTTTGTGATTGTCTTGAGGTCCCAAATAAAAATGATTCAAGATAAAATATAATAGGAAGCACAAGGAACTGAAAGCCAGGCCCTTAGAAGGGAAATGGAAGCATATTTGTTTATGGCCATAAAATGCAGTCATGTAGACACAGAGATCAAATAGAAGCCCAAGTAAGGTAGATTCTTCTGTTATGTAAGCTTTTGGCCTTGAAAAATATCAGAGAGACTTCTCTTTATAGTCTTCTTTGATCCTTTCGCTGTCCACTAAAAAAAAAAACAAAACAAAACAAAACAAAAAAAAAACCCTCTTCTTTGATTTTTAACCTGTTCTGGGGAAATGAAAAATGAAAATGAGTTGGGGAAATGAAAAAAAAAAAAAAAGATTTGACTTTGTAAAGCTCATTAAGGAGCTATTCAATTTTCATTCAAATTTGAAACAAAAAGTGCCTATAAAGATTGGGAAATTATTCATACAAATAACAAACTTAGAATTCATGTATGTTCAGCACCTCCTTGCCCAGGAGTATGTTGTAAGACAGAACCTGAAACTTTTCCAGCAGTTTTCTGGTGTTTCTACAGTGATTAGTGCTAACGATTTCATTTGATACTTAGGTAGTAGTCTTATGAAGATAGCAAGCATGTGTTCCCATTGTTCCCGATAAAGAAATTGAGATTCTGGGAGGTTAGATGGTGACTTGAAGACTCCCTGCTTGGAGAGAGAAACAGGACCTGGAGCTTGGATATTCTGACGTCTCTTGTGTGCTGTCTCTATTTTAGATCTCACTGCTTTATGAGTAGTCAGGGAAAAGGTTGAATTTCCAGGAGAACTCAGGAATTTGCAAAGTTAACAACACAAATGATCTGTTACTTTGGATCCAATTATAATTTTATTTGTAGAAGGAAAAAAAGATTTAGGATACTGTATAAGTTGGTAGTGTAATTGTGATTAAAGTGTATAACTCTAAATGGAAAAAAGTTTCACAGAGTTTTGCCTATGCACAAGCCATCAATTTTTACCTGTGTCTTCCTAGCCTTTTCCTACTGTGATGTATTCTGCTTCTTAATCTTTGTCAAGCTCTACTTATCGTTTGGGTTTAGGAAATCTGTTTTGAATCACAGGCCTGACATGAATTTATTACCTTTGGAAATTTAGAAAATTCTGGAAAAAATGGTAATTATCACAAATGAATGATAATTTTTCTTTTATGAAACAATGAAGAACACTCTAAAAGCATTTGTGATAATTTTGACTTTCAAAATTTCTATAATTTTTAGAATTGAGTGCTAATTCACATCATACTCAAACTGCATCATCAAAAATTAGAATATATAGATTTTTTTTTGTTACACAGAAATAAGAAAGGAACTTAGTAACTTAGATTTATTTAGGAGTCCTGAGAGACCTTGAGATTAGAAGTGATACAGTTGTACATGGTTGCAGAACACCAAGTAAAAGGTGGAGTCCTTAACTGGTTCTGTGGAGCCTTATCCCTGCTTCCTGTGGAGGAGGTGTGACTGCGTTTTATGTATCCTTACTGTTGCGCTCTGGTTTGGGATTATATATAGGTAAATCATTTACTTTCTTTTTAAAAAGATGAGTCATTTTCTGGCTTTGTGGTGGCAACAATGAATAAATTTTATTAGCTTTTTTGCTTAAGAAATGCAATTAAAAACAGTGTCTCCCCCTCCACCAAATAATCTGAGTAATAAAAATGACTGGTTAAGTTACATTTTGACCTTACAATAGTAACTATAAATTTGCTCACTTTCATGCTGCATGCAAAGAATTTTTTTCCTCTTTGATTGTCAGTTTTTGATGAGCTTTCTTTCAGTTTGGAAATATTTCCTCCTGAGCCATCTGTTGGAAAATTCACAGTGCAGAGACATGTAGGATTTCCTTTAATGGGATCATTTCTAACCGGTCATAGAAATTGGGCTGCTACTGCTGTCCAGATGAACATCTGCAATCAGTTCTTGGCCCTGCTTCCAGTTTTCCAAAGACTTCATGAAAGTCTTTCAAGAATTATAAAGTACCTTGCTAGTATAAAGTGACATGCTTTTTTGAAGCAAAGGGAATCACACCTTGCCATAAATAGTCAAAAGCAATCTCAGGAGATTTAAATGGTAATATGTCAGTTTTAAAGTTTTAAACAGGAAAGGTACTGCTATAAGTTCAGAGTATCAGTTTAGGGATGGGTCAGAGATACAGATAGAATATTGAGAGACATTGCATAATTTGGTTAACAATATTGTTTCTGAGTTCTCAGATTGAATTCTGGTGTGTTCCTTACTAGTATGTGATTTGGGGCAGGTAAGTTAACTTCTCTGAGCCTCAGTTTCCTTATCTATAATTTGAAGTCAGGTGAATATTAAATAATATATGTAGAGTTCTTCATTATGAGTTCCTGGGTCCAAGATTAGGATTCAATAAATATTAGTTACTTATATTCAGTTATCATTACTATTGTTTTTTTAGTGGGTATGTAATTCATTGGTAAACAGGTTGAATTTGAATTAAAGTCAAGAGTTAATAATATTGGAGGTGTGACATTGAGACAAAATGTTCTTTAGGTAATTTTTTTTATTTGAAAGAGAATAAAGCTGAACAAAGTAAAAGAATAGAGCTAATAAAAACAGAACAATGAGAATGATACAGGATTTCAAATCAAGATAATAGGAAATAAACAGTGACTACCATAACATCTCGTTTTCTTCAGAATAGCTGTCCATACCATTGAACATATTAAAATCAAGCAAAACAAGACAGAATAAAACCAAACTTAACAAAACAATAAAAACGATACAGGAATTCAAGACAAGATAATAGGAAATTAATAGTAGTTACCACCTTTCCTTTTAGATGTTTCCTCCCCTATCACTTTCACAATATTTATTGTACATTTTAGATCTCACTAACTTCTTCAGTTTTTTAGGCTAGGAAGATTACATGATTTTCACCCTTATGAATCCAAACCATTTCACCTATAAACATTATCTCTAATTGTGTCCATTTACCTCAGGAGCCTTGAGTTTATATTTCTTTATAGCTGAATAGCTTTCCATTGTATGAAAATAGTATATCTACCTTGTCTATTCTTATCTATTCTGCAATTGATGGGCTAGTTACTTTTTTCTGGTTTCCTGTCACATGGAATAATTGTTTTCTCTCCCTTCACTTTTGGTCTATGAATTTCGTATGAGTTAAACATGTTTCTTGTATACAGCATATCGTTGAATCTTATTTATTGATCCATTCTCCCTGTGTTTCTTTTTATTGATGAATTGAAGCCATTTACATTAATGGTTACAACCAGCATGCATTGACTTGTCTCTGCCATGCTAACCGCCTGCTCTTGGCCCTCCCCTTTTCCCCTCCGTTCAGTTGCTTCCACTGTTTACCAGTCCCCCTCTGCTCGTGTTCCTGGAACTGTGGTCAACTTTATCTCTCTTGAGAATATCCTTTAGCATACTCTGTAGGGTTAGTTTGGTGGTCATGAATTCCTTCAGTTCTTTATCATGGAAGTATCTTAATTTCTCCATCAATTTTGAGTGATAGTTTTCCAGTGTATGTCGATTTGGGAAGTGGGAAGTTGTTTTCTTTCAGAATTTGAAACACCTCATTCTAAGCTCTTCTTGACTTGATGGTTTGTGTTAAGAAGTCTGCTGTGATTCTGATGGGTTTTCCTTTATAGGTGATCTGTTTCTTTTCTCTAACAACCTTTTATATTCTGTTCTTGTGCTGAATTTCTAGGATATTGATTATTATATGTCTTGGTGCACATTTATTTTGGTTATGGCTAGTTGGAGTTCTATATGCCTCACTTACTGTATGCCAGGTCCTTTTCCCATGTTTGGGAAGTTTTCTGCTATTACTGCTATAAATAATCTTTTTAAGCGTGTTGACCTCTGCTTTTTTGCTAACACCTGTCACTCTTAAATTATTTTTCTTTG